GGAGGATCGCTTGAGCCCAGGAGTTTGAGGTTGCTGTGAGCTAGGCTGACGCCACGGCACTCTACTCAGGGCAACAGAGCGAGACTCTGTCTAAAAAAAAAAACACAAAAAACAAAAAATAATTTGGCACAGAAACCTCATCTCAAGTCTTGAATGGGAGTTTCATTATCTTATATATTGTTTATTTCATTCTGACTAGTAAATGCACCCAAGGAAGGAAAAGCCTGATGGAATTTATGTCCAGTTGTTTCTTTGGGGGGAATCGAAACCTGCTAATTCATGGCAGTCACTGTCAGCACAGCATATGTAAAGAAAGAACTAAATTGAGAGACTGCACCTGGGTCCTCACCCCAACCCTGCCATCAAGGAGCTGCAGGACTTTGCAATGATCACTGAACATATCTGGGTCCCCAGTTTCTCCTTTGTAGTTTGGAAGAGTTTACAAACTATTGAGAACTCTAAAGTCTATATCTTTCTCATTCATCTAGCCACTGAGCTCTGACGTGTAGTTGTGAGAACGACAAGCATGCTGAGAAGATGGCATATTTAAAGGTGTCTGGTGGAAATTTGGAGTACCACCTTCAGCAGCTCTTGGTCCCTCAGGGAATACTTAAGCCCTGAGCCCTTCTTGACACCACTGCTTCCAGAAATCACAAAATAATGCCAGACTTATATTCTGTAATTTTTCAAATTTGTCTTCCCTTTCAGGAAGATGTGATTGTGTCGTGATTGTGGTATTGTGGTATATATGTGTGCATAGTCATGCATCACTTAACAACAGGGATATGTTCTCAGAAATGCATCATTAGGCAATTTCATTGTTGTGCAAACATCACAGAGTGCACTCACACAAACCTAAATGGTATAGCCTACTACACACCTGGGATACATATTATAGTATGGCCTATTGCTCCTAGATACAAACTGGTACAGCATCTTACTGTACTGAATACCGTGGGCAATTATAACACAATGATAAGTATTTCTGTATCAAAACGTAGAAAAGGTGCAGTAAAAATATAATATAAAAGATAAAAAATGAACACCTGCGTAGGGCACTTACCATGAATGGATCTTGCAGGACTGGCAGTTGCTCTGGGTGAGTCAGCGAGTGGTGAGTGGATGTGAGGGCCTAGGACATCACTGTACACTCCTGTAGACTTTACAAACACTGTACACTTAAGCTACACTAAATTTATAAAAAATATTTTTCTTTCTTCAATAATAAATTAACTTTGTTTATTGTAACTTTTTTACTTTATAAACTTCAAAAATTTTTTTGAACTTTTGAGTCTTTTGTAATAGCACTTAGCTTAAAACACAAACACATTGTACAGCTGTACAAAAATATTTTCTTTCTTTATATCCTTATTCTATAGGATTTTTGCTGTTTTTAAAATTTGTGGAATTTTTTTACTTTTAACTTTTTTGTTAAAAACAAAGACACAAACTCACACAGTAGCCTAGTCCTACACAGGGTCAGTATCATCAGTATCACTGTCTTTCACCTCTGCATCTTGTCCCACTAAAAAGTCTTCAGGGACAATAACATAAACATGAAACTGCCATCTCCTGTGATAACAATGCCTTCTTCTGGAATACCTCCTGGAGGACCCACCTGAGGCTGTTTTACAGCTAATTTTTTTATATAAGTAGGAGTACACTCTAAAATGATGATAAAAACTATAATATAGTAAATATATAAAGCAGTAACATTATCATTATCGAGTACTATGTTCTGTATATAATCGTATGTGCCATACATTTATATGACTGGCAGTGCAATAGGTTTGTTTACACCAGCATCACCGCTAACACGTGAGTAATGTGTTGCACTATGACATTCCAACATCACTAAGTGACAGGAATTTTTCAGCACCATTATTATCTTACGGGATCACCATCACATATGTGTTCCATCATTGACCAAAAGGATATTACGCAGCACATTATTGAATATATGTTATCCATACACTCATATATTTATCTTCAATTAAAGCAATATATACTTACGTATTGATTTAATATATATTATTTATATACATGCGTGGATATATATATATATGTGTGTGTTTATATATCCCATACATTTATATATTCATTTTTAATTAAAGCAATATTCATATATATTGTTATATATATTTAATTCCTCCAAAGAGAGTAATATTTATAATAAAATGGAAAGTAACATGATGTCTATAATAATTTCTGTTTCTTAAAGCCTCCAGTATTTTATTGGGACAATTGATAAAATTTGAAGACTGTTTATGGATTACAGGACAGTATGGCATTGATGTTAAATTTTCCCATTTTAAAAGTTGTACTCTGTTTATATAAGAGAATGTCCTTATTCTGAGGAAATGCTCATTGAAATATTAAATATTTGGGGACAAAGGGGACTGATATCTGCAACTGACTTTAAAATGGCAGATAAGTAGCTAGAGAAGTAGATAGATAGATATAAGGAAGGAGAAACAAAGAGAATGGCAAACCAAATGGGGCAAAATATTAACAACTGGTGAATCTGGGAGTGCTTTGCACTGTCTTTGCAACTTTTCTATAACTTTGAAATTATGTCAAAATTATCAGTTGCTAGGAAAAAACCTCCAATATATAACCATGTAATATATGATAATTATTAGTTTGTCAGTAGTTTTTCAGTAACTCTCTAAAAGTTATCAGCAAGATAATAGTCAGTAAGTATTTAGACTTGCTGTCTTTCTTTCAAATAATAAGGCAATGTAGACAGCTTTGCATTATCTTCCCTGAAACATGAATGCAGAGTTAGACTTGTTGTTTCCAGTATCTGCACCTACAGGGGTTTCTTTATGCCTTCAGCGGAATAGCTTGGTCCACACTTAACGTGTCCATCAAGTACCATAATGAAAATGAAACACTGACCAAAAAGCGTCTGAAAGCTAAGCTGAAATAAGACACGATTGCTTTTGATACCTTAACGCAAACACAAAAACCCTTTGATTGAAAATACTTAAATATGCAATGATGGAATGTTTTTCTCTCATATTTTCAGAATGGCTTCCCTTCTGAGCAAATTTAGGATAAAATTTGCAGACATCCATATCATTGGTGACATCAACGTTAAACCAAACAAAGAGAGGTATGAAACATTTAACAAGATCCACTGATTACCCACTGTACTCTCTCATTCTCTTTTGTGTTGCTTATCAAAGGGAAAAAAATGTTATATTTACCGCAGTGTCTTCTTGATAGGATATAATAAGAAGGGCCTTCAAATAATCATGACATAGAAAAGTACATTCTAATGGGGAAAAAAAGTTTTATAGTGAAGATAAGCCTGAAAAGGAGAATTATTGAAACATAGGTCAGTTAGCATTTTAGAATTGCTCTTGGTTTCTATGGTGGCAAGAGTAGCAAGAGGCATAAGGTCCAACTATTCTGAACTGAGCAATCAGGGCAAGTTCCATAGTTCAAAGCTACTGGTAGGGCATCCTGGATGGGGAGCTCTGACAGAGAAGGTGTGGAAACAGTTTGTGGCTTTTTGACATAATGACAATAACAACCCTCCAAGGCCATCTTAGCTTTTGGATACTGAGGGCCCAACACTTAGGGCCTATAAACTTTTGAGGAACCTCTGAAACTATCTGAAGCCTGGAAAAGAAATGTACTGGTTCCAAAATTTTTAAAAATGACAAAATTAAAATAATTATTTAAATATTTTCAAGAGGCAACATCATTTTAACCCTCATTAATTGTTAATTTTACCAATTCCGTTATTGGCTTAGTCAGCTCAGGCTGCTATAAGAAAATACCATAGACTGGGTGGCTTAAACAGTAGACATTTATTTCTCACAGTTCTGGAGGCTGGGCAGTCCAAGATCAAGGTGCTGGCTGATTCACTTCCTGGTGAGGCCCCTCTTCCTGGCCTGCAGAGGGTGACCTCCTGGCTATGTATTCACATGACAGAGAGAAAGAGAACTCGGGTCTCTCTTTCTTTTCTTATAAGGGCACTAATCCCATAATGGGGCCCCATGCTCATGACCTCATCTAAACCTAATCACCTGTCAAAATCTCCACCTCCAAATACCATCGCATTGGAGGGTAGGGTTTCGACTTATGAATTTTGGGGGAACACAAACATTCAGTCCATTACAACGATATTTGAAAACAATTTGTAGGTTAGACCTTCATAGGAGTTCCCAAGGGTGTCATAGCCCATTGTAAATTAGATTATGTGACTTAGAGGTATAATTTAACAATTATAAAATGCTTTTAATGATTTACGGTCCAAAATCATATTTACTGTTGCATTCAGATGCAATTTAATACTTTTGATTTGGTGTGGAGAGGGGCCCCCAAGGGTCATCGTACAGAGGGACACAAAGGTCTCAGATGGCTTAGGTCCTCACTGTCTTGCCAGACCACTTCCCTTTACTCTTGGCTACCATTGCTCCTTCCTTCTGAAGTTGTTGATGGGTGGTATTAAATAATTCCATACTTCTCAAGTTTTCTTGCCTCTTCCCTTCTTTTTATTTATTGTTATTCTGAATGAGCTTAATAGCTAACTGAAAATTATTCAGATTTGACATGTATTCTTATTGACCAAACAAACTTGTACTTCCTTTTCTTTGAAGGTATTCATGATTCCTCTAAGGCAGTCAGTCAAAATGAGTCAGTCAAAATGAGTTTACAAAAAGCACCTTAATTTTTAAAAAGAAAACTACCATCGACAGAGTTGAACTGATTATTACTTTGTAATATTTCCTTACATCATACATACCTCTAATGCCTCATGTTCTTTTATTTCTACAGTTATATATGCTTGAGAAAAATTAAGAACACATTTATAATTCTCCTTAGTAAATGGAATTAACTTTCTGATATGAATTGGGTTGTCGTACAATAATCTCTGGTAGCCTTCTACATTTTATTGGAAGAATTTTAATTACCTAAGTCGTCGCCTCTTAGCATTTGCAGTGATGTGATCAAACAGGCTCATCCTATGACTCTAATTGGTGAAAATGCACTCTCTTTCATAGCACATCAGGTCTGAGGATTCTTTAGAATGTGCCACTTAGCAACAGGGCAGAGCCTGCCAATGCTCTGCAAGATAGGAACATTTTCTGTTGTCTATAATGTAGTCACTGTGTCTCCTACTGACTTCAGATTTTCTATAAACCCTGGCTTAATACTGGGCACAAATTAGTTATTTGTAGCCAAATTCTTCTTGCTGTTGTCTGCCTTATCAATAGCTAAAAACTATCTGTGTTTGCCAATTAATTTGTTCCTATATTCCTTTGTCTCTTTGCCCATTGATCAAGTTTTCTCTACCCAAGTCCTTTTTTCCTTCCCCTTCTTTCATACTAGTTTCTACCCAGCTGCCATGGTCACTACCCTGTTTACCCATCTGTTCTGTCCTATCACTGAGGATGCTGATGTACCTCTTCCATTAACCAAGCCTCAGCATTCTTCGAGTACCTGTCATAGTCCACATGTTCTTTGTCTTACTTCCCTGACCTTTGTCTCATGGTGTCCTCTTCTCAGGGAGCAAAATTCTGTGGGCAGTAGTAATAAATAAAATATGGAGCCATTTTTTGTTTTGTCCTGATATCTAAATTTGATTTTAGATGCCATTTTAATGTGATGTTTCTTACATGTCCTAACCATCCTGCAATAAAGAGAATTACGCTCCTTCCTCAGGAAATAAATGAATTAGTTTTCAAAACTTTGAAGATTTTCTCTTTGCCATTTCGAGGTCTTGAGGAAGATGCAGGAAAAAAAAAAAAAATCCAACCTCAGTGAAATAGAAGAATCCTTGTGGCCAGTGCTCCCTGGTGCAAGGACAAGAGGCCATCAGAAGAGGTGTGCTGGGAGAGCCATCCTCCTCTTCTCAGCCTCTACTGTAACTCATGCCATGTCACATTATAAAACAGTCGCATATCTGATATTGGCAACGGCTGTTCCAATACATGAAAGTAACCCCATCTTAGAACAAAGAATGTTCATAGTAAATCTCACAGGTGGCCACTCATAGCACATCTGGCACATTTGTAATACCTTAAATAAGGGAACTCCTTGGGGTGGTACAATTACAGAAAGAGAACTCTTCCTGTGGGCTGATGCAGCCTGGACCCAGGTGCTAAGGCTTAAAGAATAGAACACTGGCTCAATTCCGCCTCCCACAGGGGCCTTCTTGGCAGCTCTTGTCCACTGTTAACAACTATACCCTGATCACTACTCTTTCTTGGTCACCAGATGATGCACAATGTCAAAAATAGTTTGTCAATGATTTCCATGTTGGAGGCTAATGTTAAATGCCCTTACATTGATTGCCTTTAATAAATCTTTTGACTACCCATAAAACATCAGTGAGTCTTGGTGGAGGCATTTTATCATATAAACATTATCTATAAACATGGTAGGGCAAGGGTGAAAGGGAGTACAAAGGCAAAGTTAATGAGAAAATAATTGAGCCAGGAGAAACCAAAAAGCTTTTGTGGTTAAATTCCGTTTTTTATTGTAGAGACTGAATTAAAAGTCATAGGACAAAAAGACAACAATCTTATATAAAAATCAAAAAGAAACTAAAAGCAATTAACTAGATAATCTAAAGTGCTAGGGTAGTCACAACAACAATTGGTACATTACTTTGAGAGAAGAAATCTTTGTGGACTTGGGGGAAAATTTTATGCAATTAAAAAAATTAAAAACTTAGTTATGAGGAACAAGGATGGGGAAGGTATGGCATCTGGTAATTTTCAAAATTAAATTAATCCTTATTTATATTTAATAGCATGCAATACTTGGCTTATTCTAGAGTCAATTAAAAAGTACTTCTAATAAAAATCAGATTTAAAGAGAATCAAAACAGAAATCTTGGCCGGGCGCGGTGGCTCATGCCTGTAATCCTAGCTCTCTGGGAGGCTGAGGCGGGCGGATTGTTTGAGCTCAGGAGTTCGAAACCAGCCTGAGCAAGAGCGAGACCCCGTCTCTACTAAAAATAGAAAGAAATTAATTGTACAACTAAAAATATAGAGAGAAATTAGCCGGGCATGGTGGTGCATGCCTGTAGTCCCAGCTACTCGGGAGGCTGAGGCAGAAGGATCGCTTGAGCCCAGGAGTTTGAGGTTGCTGTGAGCTAGGCTGACGCCACGGCACTCACTCTAGCCCAGGCAAAAGAGACTCTGTCTCAAAAAAAAAAAACAACCAGAAATCTTAAGCTACCTGGGGATCACCTAGCTAGGAGAATGGAAAATAGCCAGCTCAGAGATGAGCCTTAGGAGGAACAAATTAAAGATGAACAAAAACAAAGAGTAGTTAGAGCTCAAAGAAAAGGAGTGGGCAAATACAGCCTCATTGTCACCTACTGTGTCACTTAGCATGTTTCAATTGCAAGTAAACTCACAGTGATTTAGATGGTGGAAATTATTGTCTACATAACTAAAAAATACAAATATAGTTTGGCTTTCAGGCTAAGTTTGATTTAAGTTAATTTTGTAATCAAGGACTAATTCTCTTTCAGTCTCTCCACCTTCCATTACGAAATCATCGATCTAAGTTGATTTAGCTTATAAAAGCAAGATGACTGATGATAGCAATCGGGACTACATACTTGGTCCTGTAAGTTCTGTAGGAGAGAAAGTTTGCCTCTTTCCCAGTCATGGAACTCAGGTCCAGGGCTCCATTCAGGTTTCATTAACCTAAGCAACGGAGCCATTCACTGTGGTCAGCGTAACACTGGGAATTTTACTGGTTCAAGCCTGCCTGAGTTATGTGCCCACCCTGGCCAATCACTCAGACAGAAGGTATAGAATTGTGCTGATTGGCTGTTGTTGGGAATGGAGTCATTCCCACTTAAACTACAATGGGGAAAGCACAATGTGGATGCTGGGAAGACAACCAGCAACCTCCACCTCACCTTCTATTTCTTAGGAAACTATTTTTGTACCATACTTTCTAACAAGGATCTGGGCTGAGACGCAAAGAAACTCTTATCCTGAGCAAAATAGGTATATGAAGGGCTTAAACAAAGAGCCTCTCAGTTGCTCACCTCAATCCTATGCTGTTTAGTAAAGTGAATGCCTTGCTTTTACAAGGCACTGCACACTTTTCGGAGCACTGTCACCCAAGTCATCACACTGACTTTCAAACCAGCTCCAGCAGGCATCGTTACTACCATTTTGTAGCCTGTGTTATCAGGCCAAGGAGGACAAAGGAAGAACTAGAGCAAGAACCCAGGCTCTTCTCTCTGAGGCCAGCACCTTTCTATAATACCTATAGCTGCCAACAGTCTCTAAAGGCCCAACACCGTTGGAGTAATAGCAAATAAAAGTACTGTGTGACTGAAAGAATAACAGGCCCTATCAGTCCTATTCTTTCTCTGTCTTCCTCTACCTTTTGAATAAGTCAATGCAATAGGAACCTACTGAATTAAGCGTCTCTTCAGTCCCTTAAACAAAGGCTCACTGGTGGGGACAAGCCTACTCCTTCGTAATCACTGCACTGTTATCTGCAAATCCTAAATCAGGCCAACTGATGAGATAATTGAACTCATCGCTTCATATTTCCATTTCTTAAGCTAACAGTATATTGATTCTAATTATCACTCATTCCAAAGTTACTAAATTATAAGTAAGCTACATGATGTAAAACCAAAGAAAATTGTTCATACTTGAGATTATCTTAAAGTAGCATACTGAAGACAACTACTGCCAGAAATTGTAAGATTACTTTGTGCTATTGTTTTAAAAAAATAAATTTTATGAGATTCTTAGATAAGACAAGTGAGATTTTTTTCCAGCAATTTTAAAATGTTCTATAGCTCTTAGATACTGCTGCTAGTTTTCTCCTCAATGATTTCTTTTTAAATGCTCTAACATGTCCTCAAATTTTTAGGCATTAAAATATTATCTATTTTTGTTCTTTCCCCTAACATATACTGGAATAATACTCATTTGACAATCTCAGGCAGCAACATCAAACACCAAAAGGACAAGGGCAGCATTATTTTAAGCAAACACACAAATTGTTCTATAACCATTAAACTTATGGGATCCCTTGCTGTTCTCCTCCTGCCTGGCCACAGCTTCCTGCCATGGCGGGAGTTGCCATGTGGACTAAAGGTGAGGGTGGCCTTATCCAACTCCCAATGAGCCTAGTTCATTTCCTGCATTAATTGATGAATGTCTCCCATAGAGTCTGTGCAATAACCAGATGAAAACAAATTTATGGGCTGAAGCGTCTACATTACAACTGTGTCTTTGACAACACTATGCAGAAAATGTATTTGCAGAACAATTACTGTCTACACATTTGGGTGTTAATATTGAAGATCTAATACCTAGTGTGCTAACGAGGCTTCAAACACTTTAAGGCCTTTCTCAGGTAGGGAGGAAATACTGTAACCATGGTTTTACTCACAGTAAGTTCCCCGCAAAGATAATTCTTAAAAGATTTGCATGACATTCAGCTCTGATTCCACAGCCAGCGGAGCCAGTCATACCTGGAGTATCTGTGAAATAATAAGTTAGTTTCCCACTGTGAGGCCTCCTTTATAATTCAAATTTCAGCTGGAAAGTCTTTGAAGAGATGATTGAACCATATCGTCTCCATGAAAGCTGCAAAGATTTAACAACTGCTGAGAAATTAAAAAGAGAAACTCCATGGAAAATTACAGATGGGGAACTAGAAGCAGTCAAAGAAAAGGTAAGGACTTTTCTTCTTTAATTTTTACTTTGCTGTGTAACTAGCTGAAAAAGCAAACAGTGGTTGACTTAAAGATCAAGAAGCAATGTATTTATTATCCAATTTCGTTATTCAAGATCCAGGGTTTCTGCATTTTTCAAGGGTTTTTCAATTATTTATTCGATATGAGGATTTAGAAAATTTTTCTTTTTTTTTCTATCAAGTCAATCATTTAAAAAAAAAAGTTTGAAAAACAGGTTATCGGTACATATTGTAAAGTCTCCTTGCAAATTTAATTTTAAAGAACAAGAGGCAGACCCATCAGCCTAAAATAATTTGTCGGTATGTGTACAAAGTAGATAAAGGTAGATTGACTCACAATTTAACACAATAACAAAGAATTTTAACCTGATTAAGATGGCTATGGAAAAGTAACAAAGGTATCTGAGGAAATATATGTGATTGGGACAATGAATATGAAAGTTGGGTCTAGCACACATTGTAAGATGGATGAAAAACAGTGAGTTTTTCTAGAGAGCCCAGTGAGGAGGTAGGAGTTAACTTCTTCTGACCTGAGCTAAATGACATAAGTGACAGTGGGAATTATGGAAAGGACAAGGACTCAAGAATTAGGTAGAATTGACATCAAGAAAAAGGACCACAAGACCTTCTAAACTACAAGATCTAAACAAACTACATTAGGAACTGAACTTGGAAAAATTAGACAAGAAATACTAGAAGCCTTTCAGATTTAGTAAACAAACAAAAGAAATACTGAATTAGAATCATAAACTCTGTGTATAATAAACTGTCCAGTTCTAACACAGACTTATCAAACAATTGAGTAAATCGCACATCTGAGCCTCTCTGAACCAGTGAAACATAATAATAAATATTATTCTCATTGCTGCAAAATATTAATAGTTATTTTTCCAAGTGAGTCTTTTGGTGGTTTTTTAATTGAAGCCAGTTCCTTGTGCTTATAAAATATTCAGAGAGCTTAAAGAAAGTTTAAAGAGTTTAAAGAAAGGTAGACTAGGATATAATCTATGTTCTGAGGATATCAAATTGGTATCAAGATTCTGCCATCCAAAAGACCACCAGGATGGTTAGATAGTGGCAAGGAGAGCTTTATTAGCAATGTCAATTTGCAAACTGGGAAGTGATAGTCTCTAATATGGACGAAGGTGCTCTCTCTTCAAAGAGGGAAAGGGTAGGTTGGGTTTTATGCCTCACGGAGTCTGTATTATACAGTAGAGTCATACATATTCAGCAGGCTTGGGGGAAAGCTATACATATTTAAACAGGGGTAGAGTGCATGTGCAATGGATAAACATATATGTAACATACATTTCATGTTCACTTTGGGGCAGGGTTTTAACATTAAAATGAGGTGGAATTTGGCTCTTTACCTCAAAAGGTAAACTGTAGGACACAAAGATAGTTCGTGTGCAGTCTCTATAAACTGACTGAAACAGGCTTAAGGTCAGCAGTTGCTTATCAGAAAAGAATGTTTATAAGGCTGTCCTTTGTCCAATCAGAGTTATAGTGGTCTGGGTTGTAAATAAGAGTGAGGAGGATTCTGATAGTTCTGATCATTAGAGACTTTAGCAAAAGCATAGTTTTTCTTGTAGCCATAGGAATTTAGAAATTTGCCATGCCAGCTGGGCCCCGAACCCTCAACCCATAGGTAACTTTTGTTTCCTTAACTTTAGCGTCCATCTTAATTGATAAAGGGGCATCTATTTCGATTTCTCGGATCATAATTGTATCAGTTTTCTTTAACCAAAAACCTATTGCCCCAAACTGGCCATTCTCATCTTCTTTTTACTGCTATCCATATTGTTTGCTTCCCCCCACCCCAACCCCCCAGAACTTAATAAGTTACTATAGCACAATGAAAAGCGGTCTTATTCTTTACATTTCTAAAATGTATCATGAGGTTCTAAAATAAGGTAAGTGTCCAAGCCTGAAAAAATAATTGCATTTTTTAATGAGGTTTCTGCTTGCCCTGACTTGAGGTAAGAAAATAAATTATGGTAAAACTGTACTCAGCAAAATCTGAATGTTGTCCACAGAGTTACCGCCAAGTTCGACTGAATGAACTCTTACAAGAGCACTCAAGAGCTGCTAATCTCATTGTCCTGTAAGTATCACTGCAGGCATTTAAGAACGTTAGAAAAAAATCTTAGGGTAAATGGGTTAATCAATTTAAAAGCTCGTGATTCTTCACATGGAAAGTTTTTTTTAAAAAATTGAGATGTGGGATTTTAGACAGTGAAGGAAGGTGAGTGCCACCCTGAGACCCTGATGCCTGGGGCCCATGAGTGTTAGAGGACCTTGCTTGGACCTACTGCCACCCTCACATGTCCAGGGCACATGTCCATCTAGCGCCCAGGCTTCCTTCCAAGACCATGCTCCAGGAGCCTGAGACCCTGGTGTTCCCTCCCCAGCAGCCCCAAGTCAGCCACTGAGCTGCTGTGTCCATGGCAGGCAGTGACCTTTTCCATTTCCACTCTGTACCCTCTGGCCCTACGAATGTTAGGGGAGTCCCTACTGAAAATAGTAATGTCCATTTACTTTAATGATTGGTAGCTAAATATGAAAACCTCCAACTTTCGCATTTACACCTCATGAACAGACTCCTATGTGTGAAGATAAATATGTCTCCAAACATAGTCTAGACTGGAGGACTTTCCATCAAAGATGTTGTAGAATGGTCTCCTGAATTGGGTGGCCGGGTTCCAATAGCTGGTTTCTGAGATTTCTCCCAAATACAAGATTTAAACTATTGGAAAAAAAATAATTTACACCAAAAGGGGGGGATGGTATCAGTTGATCAAATTTTTTATTTAAAGAAGAGTGAACATTTATATTTCTGTTTTGTCTTTACAATGCCTAAGCCTATTTTTCTGGTTTATAGATATTTGTATTACCTGAGAAATACATCAGTTTAATAATACCTATATTCAAAATAATTTCAGTGCTTTGATTTGGGGGGAGGATAAAAGTTTTAGCCACTGGTTATTAAATAGTTCAGAAATGCTAGTGATGTTACTGCCTGTATAATTTTCCCTTTCATTTTTTCCTTTTCTTCCATGCCATCAGGAGCCTACCAGTGGCAAGAAAAGGATCTATACCGGATTTGTTGTATATGGCTTGGTTGGAAATCCTCACAAAGAACCTCCCTCCTGTCTTACTAGTTAGAGGAAATCACAAAAATGTCTTGACATTTTATTCTTAATCTGTGAAAGATTAAAATACATTTTAACTTCATGTATGAATAATTAAGAAACATTTTCCAGTACTTTATGTTGTAAATCTGATCTATGGATATGCAAATCTCTGGAGACTATCACAACAGATTCTACATAAATTTCATCATTTTTTATTATTAGTTAATGGGAGCTTTTTTTTTCCTATCAGTTTAAGAGGGTATGAAAACCAAGGCTACCCCTAGAAAAACATTCTTATCATTGCTGTTGATAAACAAAAAAATTAAGCAAACCCATGCTGGCTTGTGGTCATAAAAACCACCAATTTGATTTAAACTTCTCCGGGCAAACTTAATCTTTTGTTTCTAGGGCATTTGCTTCTTAGCCCTGGTTTAGGTCTCAACCCCACAGCAGGTTCTCAATACATGCTATTGACAGGCTGGTATGGGAACCATATGTGGTTATCAAAGGAAAAGACCAACTGGGTAGGAAACGTGATTATGCTTGGCCTCCTGAGAGGCTTATACCTACAAAGAAGATTTAAAAATCAATAACTGAAAACTTTAAGAAGTACTTGAGTCTATAAAATGTTGAAAGCAGTTACCTAAATAAGGTTATTTAATGTAACAGATTATATACTTAGAGTGATCTGAGCAATCTTTGATAACATACACCTTGAATTTGCTGCTGACTGAAAAGTATTATATATTAACTAGATTAGAAGACAACATACATTCCAATTAAATGAAATATATCTTATTCTTAGCATATAAACTTTAATTGTGCTCCCTGCTACATATTTTGAAATTTCCATCATGGCATTACTTTGCATATTTTTTTTGTAATTAAGTGGTTAGCACAGATGAAATCTTTATAGATGTCTAATTGAAAACCAAGTACCACAAATTTTCAAACCATTATTAAGAAATATATCCTGAATCATCAGTTCAGTTACTTTCTATAGTGATTGTATGGATTTTAAAGAATGGTTAAACTGTGAAGTGGAAAAACTTTGCAAATTTAGAATATACAGGTATTGATTTTTTTTCATTTTTATTAGTATACCTATAATACTTAATCACATTGACAAACCAACAAAAAGTTGTTTTTCTGATGAATGGCCTGATTTTTCTTCTTGACATATTTTGACTGTTTATTCTACCTGAGAAAATATATGGGAAAAATGAACCTGAAATAAAAAGCACTCAAATTCTACTGCTTTGGCCTAGGTCATGTTTTTACTTTTCAATCACCCAAATCATGACGCAACGGTATATCAGATGTGAGCCTGAAAATTTCACTCAGTGCCCTCGCCTACAGGTTATTTAAAGCTGGAATGCAAGATTAAGGCTTTCAAGTTCAGCCTGTCTGTTCAGAAGGATAACTGTAGGAAAAGGGAGACCATCAGCAAAGCTCAAAGAGCTGGAGATCCCCATTCCAAATCCAGGGCCCTTTTACTTAGCTGTGCCCTCCATTAAACCCTCTCTCTTGAGCCCTGGTACCTGAAATCCAAATGCCTATACTTGGTCCTGGGCACAAAGGACCCAGCTTCATCTGGGCCTGACACTTCTCTGAAATACTTGAGAGGGTCTCTGGGAAAGGTGAGAAAATATGGCTTCTGTAACAGATAATCCTGGTTCTTGTTTCTGTGCACAGCTGTTGCAAGGTGGGCTCCCTAGGAAACAGACTCCCAGACAGAGTTTAGCATGTAGTGCCCTAGGGATTAACGCTGGGGAAATGGTGAGCTGTGATGCAAGCCCAGTGACAGCCTCGCAGACCCCGCAGGAAGTAGTCCCAAGCAGGGCAGAGACGGCCAGGCCTTTGTGCTCCGCATTGATCAGTCATTGGATATAGGATGCCTGGGAAGGGGTGTGACCTCAGGTGAGGCAGCTCTGTGCAGCAGAGGGAGTCCCTGAAGGTCCTGGGAGCTGAAGTCTGTCTGCTGACAACACTCCTAGCTGCTGGGGCAACAAGCACTTCATTAAACAAGGACTGGGTAGAACATTGCCATGTCTATAGAAGTTGCCATATAAGGTAGTAGTGAAAAAACAAAAAACCTCATTTGATTTTCTGAGGGCAACTGGCAAGAGGGTGACTGAAGTGATGTTCTTTGGGTTCCAGGTTAAGGGGTGGGTGGCAGTAGGGACTGGAGATTTTGAAGTCAAGAACAGTTCTATTGGGAATAGGTTTGGATAGCAGGAAATCAAAAGGATAGGGACTATGGTCAGGTGGCAACAGATTTTTATGGCCCTTAGTTGTCATCTGCTGTTGTCCTTTGCTTAACCTAACTCTAGTAAGCCAATCACCCACCATCTCCATGTCTACACTCAGGTTTCCAGCAGGAAAGAGAAAGTTCCACAATCATGGGCATTGGTGTCCGACTTTCTCTGTCCCCTCACTTTGTGCATGTTCCTCATCGGCATCCCCAACCTTTCCTCCACAATGACTTTTCAAAGCTTCTGTCACTTTTTCAGCTGATGACCCTGCCTTCATCCCTACAGACATATCCATGTACAAATAGACATAGAGCTTTCTTTCATAAATAGAGCCATACTGGGGGCATTGTCACGTGAGTTTCCCCCTTAATACTCAATTTAGAAATCTTTCCACAGAAGCTTTAAAAAGAGAGTATAGATTCTTGTGGATGACCAAAGCCCTGCTAAATTAGATTCTCTGCGAATGGGGCCAAGGGACCTGTGCATTCTAATGATCCACAAGATCTTGGAACCACTGCTCTAGAAACTCCCTCTCATCCCCATGGTTTGATTTCCACCACATGTTGGTGTCTCCCAAATTTATAATTTTTAACTCAGATCTCTCCTATCTCTTAGTTCTATATATTTAAATATAAATTTTCTTGGTGGTTCTCTTGTTAATAGGAAAAAAACTTCAAACTCTGTAAAATAATTTAAAGAGGTTTATTCTGAAATGAATATATATGACTATGGCCCCAAGGAAGTCACACCCAAGAAGTCTTGAGCAAGTGGTCCTGAGGTTACAGTTTGGCTTTATACATTTTAGGGAAACAGGAATTGCAGATAAAATCATAAATCAATACATGGAAAGTATACATTGGTTTGGCCCAAAAAGGTAGGACATCTTGAAGGGCAGGGGGGAGACTTACAGATTATAGGTGGGTTTAACAATTCTTTGATTTGTAATTGGTCAAAGAAATAAAGCTTTGTCTAAAGCCTTGGAATGTTTTAAGTTAAGATAAGGGAGTCTGTTAATCAGAGACAAGCCACAATATACTCACTCAAGTTAAGCAAATTAATGGACTGCAGGTGATTTAACCTTTGGCCTACATGGCCTTACATCCTGTTAATAATTTAGTGTCTTATTGTCACCCAGAGTCTGTTTGTCAGTCTTATGATCTCCGTTTTGACATTAATGCTGGTCAATTGTTGTATCTAAACTCCAAAAGGGAGGAGGTATAACGGAGATGTGTCCAACCTCCCTTCTCTTCATGGCCAGGAATTCAGTTTTAAGGTTTTCGTGGGGTCCTCTTGGCAAAGAGGGAGTCCATTCAGTTGGCAGGGGGTCTTAGGATTTTATTTTAGTTCACACTCTGGGTGTCCCACAGACACCCTAAATGTAGAACGACTAGACTTCTCTGTAAAGCATATACACACCCACACATACTGGAGCAATGGCTCTAATTCTCTTTCTCAATTGCCTATCAGATGGCCCCTGAAACGACCAAGCAGATATGAAAGTAGAAAAAATTTGCATCACAGCAGGAAACTATGGAAGGATGCCATTCACACGATAACATTTTTTTAGAAATACAATCAAGCTACAGTATACATGGACAGAGATTGAAGGAAGCTATTAAAGACCAGCTTGCAACCAGTGCTTTCTGAGAAAAAAAATCTTAGAAAATAATTACAGGAAACCCTGGGAGGACTCTATTAACCCCTATCCCCAGTTTGAAGCTGGAGGTGAGAATAGGTGTAGCACCTTCCTTGGGATGCCTTTTGTTGGATACTGAGAGTATTCAGAAAGGGCTTCCCTGAGAAGATGCACAGTGTGCTTGGTGGGCACTCAAAGCAAGTTTGAGTGTTGTAGTGGAGCATCTCACAGATTCCTTTAGCAGCAGCACCAGAAAAAAATTCTGTGAAAATATCAATACATAAAGAGCATAAAAACGGGAAAAAATAGTCAAAAATTTTTCAGCCCAGCACAGCAGCTCACACTAATTAGAATTAGTAATTCTAATACTCTGGGAGGCCGAGGCAGGAGGATCACTTGAATCCAGGAATTCAAGACCAACCTGAGCAACATAGTGAGATCCCGTCTCTACCAAAAAATAGAAAAATTAGCCAATGTGGTGGTGTGCACCTGTAGTCCCAGCTACTTGGGAGGCTGAGACAGGAGGATTGCTTGAGCCCAGGAGTTCAAGGCTGCAGTGAGCTATGATCACACCACTCTAGCCCAGGCAATGATGAGACCCTGTCTCAAAAAAATTTTTTTTTCATTAAAAAAGAGAAAAATCATACAATATAATAGAATCATAAAATATGATAGAAGAAAAATCAAACGTACAAGCAATGAACAGAAAATGTAAATGTGTTAATCTTTCTTATTGACAAAGACTCTCAAATTTAATGAAAAAAGTCAAATTCTATTCTATCTCCATCATTTTCAAAATTGAATATCAAAAAGTTAAAAGTCCACAACTAAAAAAAAGGGCTAAAAGCAAAAGAATAAACAAAAATATATACAAACATTCAAACAAAAAGAATACAGTTAGCAATATTAATTTCAAAGTTTAAAACTAAAAGAATTAGGAAGGACAGGAGAGTATCATTTTATATTTACAAAATATGTATAGCCACAGTGTAGTCATAAAAATAATGCAGCTTTATGTATACAAACAGCATAGTATTGACATAAATAATTCAAGAATTGTTAGAAACAAAAGGAGAATGATAGAAAGTCAACTTTCTCAGCAAATAGCTCACTTATATCACTATCTTTGACAAATCAAATAAGCATAGGAAGAATTCAAACTATGCTAAAAAAAAATAAATTTAATAGATACAATAGTGCTCACCCACAAAGAATGCACCATCTTTGAAAAATCTATAGAATGTTTATAAAAACAAATTACATATTTGTGAACTAAAATAAAATCTTAAGCCCTGCCTAGCTGAATGAATGGACACCCTCTTGGCCAAGAGGACCCTAGAGAAATAAAGCTTAAAGCTGAGTAGTCGGTCAGGAAAAGGGAGGTCAGGCACACCTCGTCCTGCCCCTCCCTTCTGGAGTTTCTGATGAACAGACATCCTTATCTTAAGCTAAAACATTCTTTTAGACAAAGCTCTATTTCTTTAACCAATTACAAATCAAAGAATCTTTAAACCCCACAAGCCCCGCCCCCCACCTCGTTGGCTCTTAGTAGCTGATATAGGATCTCCAGAAATGTGAGACAGCATTTGAAGCAGGCAGGATTTCTAAGATGGCCTGTGTTATCTCCTCCTCTTGAGTTTGGGCAGGACCTGTGAGTATGATGGAGTGCCACTCCAATTATTAGGTTACTTTTATGAAAGAGATGAAGAGAATTTATAGATGTAATTAAAGTCCTTAAGAAGTTGATTTTAAGTTTAATTCTAAGTGGGCTTGACCAAGGTGGGCCCCGCTTAATCAGGTAAGCCCTTTAACAGAGAGTCTAGAGGTTAGAGATTTCTTCCTGCTGGCCTTAAAGAAGCAAGGTGTCATGAGTTCTATGGTAGCAAGGAAATTCATTCAGCCTCTAGCCACTTGAGCTTGGAAGAGAATCTTGAGCCTCAGAGAAGACTGCAGGTCCAGCTAACACCTTGATTCCAGTGTAGTGAGATCCTGAGGAGAGAACCCACTTAAGGTATGTGTGTACTCTTGACCCATGGAAACTGCAAAATAACAAACAAATAAGTTTGTTATCATTGTTATGCAGCAATCGAAAATGTAGCATCCCACTTGGATTTTATGTTTAATAGAATGAAAGAACATACTATACTTGTAATGCATAAATTCACACAAACTCAATCACATTATTATAATTACCCCATCCTACAATGAATAACATCAGTTCTGAGTTTTATTTGGCCCAAGAAATAACTCAGAACCTATCAAATTATATTTGTCTAATCCTAGCTTCAGAAAATAAAATATGCAATATGAAACTAATGTTTGGAGGACTTTAATAGTATATCTGATGAAACACTTCTCTAT